GTTAGAGGAAGTCTAACATTTATCGATAATTTATATAATATTTGGGGCAGGGTGAAGAACTATGATAAAAGAACATGGAAATAGTTAAACTCTTTACATTAAACAAGTGATATTAATATGATATTGTCTCTATGAAATGAATGAGCATGCTTATGAACATGCTTTTATATATTTGTGATTTCATGTTTACGACCTACATGTTACACTACAGTTAATTTTTTATACTACCTGCACCTGCTCTTTTTTCATGTTTTCTATTATTCGAGCAGGTTATGATTGTATGCAAAAATGTACAGTTTCATACGAGCATACACACTATTTCTTTTTCATGTATAAAATCTTATGCTAGATATGATTATTTCTCTGGCATGTGTATTTTTATTATATTGGATTTAAGAGCTCTGTATAGTTTTCATATTTTAGATTATATGACTTTCATGCTTCCAAAAATGTAAATACAATGTATCACAAATGTTGCAGCAAACCAGTTATACTATTTCATCACCCACTGGATCCAAATTACAAAAATCAGGACGAGTGCTGGTGAGAGTTGGTCTAACTAAATTGTCAGTCTCTGTCGCACCTCAGCCGGTCTTAAAAGGGGATTAATTTGGGTGTGATAATCGTAGCCTTAAAGAACCAAAAATGATTAAAATTACACCACTACTTAGAATTGTGCAATCTGAGGAAACGTACACTACATCATACATATATATATATATAGAAAAAGGAAACGTACACTACATCATACATATATATATATAGAGAAAACCCAAAGGTAAATATATTAATAAAAGGAAAGGTACAGATAGTTTGGATGAAAGGGCCCAAATTGGCACCCTAACCACCCGGCATACAATACACACATAGAAGTACATGTATACCCAAAAAAAAAAAAGATTAAAAAGTAAACATAGAAAAAAAGTACGCCAATAGTCTGTCAACACTCGTAGATTCAGTTAGCATGCAAAAGATCCAATTTAGCCTTGCCTCTGCCTCTGGTTTAAGCTTGTTTTCATTACCCAAAACAACTAATGTATCATCCATCAAGTTTGATAATAGGCCTCCATTCTTCTTCTTCTAATAGCAAGTTTGATAATAGGCCTCCATTCTTCTTCTTCTTCCTAGATGTATAAACTTGTCATTCCTAATTTGAGGATTGATTCATCTGATCAGTGGATTGGTCCAAAAGCGATCGGACAGGTGCAGGCTGTTGCACATCATGAGCCTCATGTGCCTGAGTAACAATAACAACTTTCTCGTCCTGATGAGGTGGTAGAAACGCAGTCGATCTGATGAGGCGATAGAAAAGCAGTAGAAATATTGTCACCCGTTACATCAATGATAGGTTCTAGGGCAGGTGAAATTGAAATGTCTTCCCTGCTGTCTTCCCTGCCCCCACGAAAAGAGGTTTCATAGACGGGGAACCTACATCATGAGCATTGTGTGGGGTTGAATGGTTGACATATTACCTGCGAGGATAATGACATCTTCAAGTGTATCCTTCTGATGATCAATAGTGTCGATAACTTGGAGCAAATAAGAAGGAGAATGAATCACTGTCTCTGGCTGAGCCCTTTGCTTCTTTGGTCTCAGATGGGTGTGGAGATAGTGACATTGAGAACTGGAGCAGCCGAACATACGACAATTCGAGCAATATGAAGAGAATGGCTCAATCACAACCATTTGTTAATATCTATGGTGTTGTGTGTCTAACCAAATTTCCTCGTAAGCGATTGAAGTGATGTCCCGTTCAACTAGTTTCCTGGCTTCAGAAGGACGAGAAAGATTAAAATTAGAATGTCCGTTTTGAGTGGCTTACCATAAGCCAAGGCAATAAAATACAACATTTTTTTAGTAAAATAATAAAATTTCAAGCCAGGGAGGCGAATCCAGACTAGAATGATTGGTGGTTCCATCTGTGAGTCAAAATCGACTGACCATTTCAAAATCTTCATAGCTCTGTTGTCAATCCAGATTAATCTTCTAGCAAATAAATGTGTGTAATCCTTTTTAATATTAAGTTGAATAAGGATGTGTGTCTATCTAAAAGTCCAATTTTTCACTCTCCAACAAGGTGCATAAGCTCGAAATTCTTCCGAATAAGCTCCATTTTGGGATGGTCATAAAGAAATTTCCCGACCAAATGCAAATGACAGGAGGAAGCAAGCTAATTATATTAAGCTTCCGTAAAAAAGATGGTTGGTTTCCCATTCTTTCTACCAGGTTTATTGATGTCATCCACCAACTCAAACGAAGGAGGGAAGGAGCACGATTTAGGAGTATCTGAGGTGTGGACAACAGCAAGGGCAGCAGCATATGATATGTTCGAAGTCATCACCAAAGAGGGAGGTGCGGCGATAGGACAGCGAAGTTACAGTGGATGGAAAAGCAAAAGCCGAAAGGGGGATCAAAGATAACCCCATCCAAGTTGAGCAAAGGGCGGAAATGCCAACTCTCTGCTTCGAGCCCGAGGAGAGGACGACCCCGTGGAAATGCAAACTCTCTGCGCCTAGGAAATGTCCTTCAAAAAGACAAAGGACTGCGAGAGAAACGAAACAGACCTTCCAAAACGGGGGACAAAGGACTGCGGCAAGCATGAAAACGAAAGACATTCCAAACGGCGACGACGACGAAGCACTGCGGAGAGAACGGGAGAAGACGCCATGATCTATATAGATACATACATACATGCATACATATATACAGAGAGATACTTCGAAGCCATCAACAAAGAGGGAGGCGCAGTGATAGGACTGCGAAGTTACAGTGGATGGAAGAGCAAAAGCCCAAATAGGGATCAAGATAGCCCCGTCCAAGTCAGGCAAAGGGCGGAAATGTGAACTCTCTACTTCGAGCCCAAGGAGAGGACGACCCCGTGAAAATGCGAACTCTCTGCGCCCAGGCGGAGAGAACGAGAGAAGAGGTCGTGATCTAGATAGATATATATTACGCGCGCGAGCGCGCGCGCACACACACACAGACATACATACATAAATACATACAGCATACATACATACATACAGACACACACACACACACACACATACAAGCAAGCACGCGCGCGCCACACACACACACACACACATAACACACACACACATGCACACAGACACACACACACATACATACATGCATACATGCATGCATACATACATACATCAATATAAACCTAATTAGTTTCATTTTTTATAGGTTCCATTTTGTTTCTACCTTACATGTCATTTTGAATGGATAGCAAGCATTGGCCAAATTAGAATCAAACAAAATCATGCCCACCCTTAGCATGAAACAAAGGATCTACTAGAACCATTTATTAGAAGATTGTAAACTCACGGTGAAGACAAAGTTCATCATTGTATTTACTTATTGAAACATAATGTTCAAGCATATTTTCATTTGAGATAGAAGAAATTTGAAGTTATGATATTGATGTTACAAACCTACAATAGATGTGGTCAATACTTATAGGAGATTTTATTTGGAGATGCAAGCCACCACTGTAATGTGATGCGTATTAGTCACCAACAATAATTTTCAGAGGATTATTGTCTACACTGTCAAAGCACCACTCAATCATGTGTACAAGAGAGTAATTTTGTGAGTCTATTTACCCACACTGGGTGATGAGTACATCGAGCTTAGCATGTCAATAACTGATTGATTTTTCTACCTTATTAATTTTTTATTTAATGGTGTTAAATCTTTTTATGACTAACAAATAGTTTAAAATTGATGGATATCTTTAATCTTAATGAAGTAGAAGACATTGCACAAAGATATATTATCATGGCATATTCTCTAGGGTGATGTTAATATGTACATCCGTATACTTTTCACGCATATTTATTAGAAGATGGAAGGATTATAATGGGCATTTGACTTTAGTTGTAGGAGGTAGGATGGTTCCTATTGAGCAATGCTTTGTTCATCTGCTTATTCCTTAATTATATAGCCTAGTTGTTGAGTTAGGTTTTGTTTTGATGATTACATCAGAATTGTGGTAAAGAAGTTTGTATGATAAGTTTACTAGTTTATTTCTCGTTCTATTATTATTAATTATTATTTAATTGAGTATATAGTGATGTACAGGCTTTATTATGGTGTAATACATATATGTTCAAGTTACACAATGCTTTCAAAGAAATGTACAATGAAATATAGCATCATAACATGCTAAGCATGAATTAGGATGTCTTACAATCTTTTTCTACTTTCCAAATATTCCGTTATATGCTAGAAAGCCTGATCAGGATGGCTGGGCTGGAAAGCAATATAATTAATAAAAGAGAAAAAAGGATTAAGAAAAAAAAAATCTATACCATAGAACATATAAAATTTGAACATTAAATAGGTGGGAAATTTACATACGTAGCAAGCAATTCTTATGGATGTACATATCTCATGCCAAAACTTTCATATTTATATGCATGGCGCCTTCCCTATGCATGAAAAAGGTGGATTTGACTGTTAAAAAGTGGTATTTTGTGCTATTTTTTATGTGATGCAAAAGAATTGATTGCTATGCATGTAAATATGGAAGTTTAGGTGTAAGAAACGTAGAACAAAAGAGTTGTGCGCTATGTATTTGAATGTCCTTAAATAGTTTGAACAAAAAAGTGAATGACACGAAAAAAATAAAATGCATGAGCGATGATTAAGCAATCATAAAACTGAGAAAACCCTGCTTTCGACTTGAGATTGATAGTAGCATTAAGAAAAGAAAATATCATAACAAGTTGGCAACTTCTCAGTAATTTAAAGAAATAAAAACTCTGAATATAGATTAGCAAGCCTTGGACTATCTACATGTGTTATAAAGTTTTCATAAGTTCACTGCATTGCATAAACTCTTGGTTTTTTGAGGAAAAACACAAATACTTTTTTTTTTGCTTGTTGAGAATGCATAAAAATAGGGAGTTGAATTTTGGGCCCAGCTGAACTGTTTCTAGCGGTCATGGAGTTAATTGAGAGAAGTAATATTATAAATATATTTTTACCTTATTCATGTTGTAAAGAGCTTCCACCATTTCTGGAGGTCTGTTTCGTACTGCTGCAGCAATCTAGAAAACCAAGACAATAAATATTGGCATAAGCTACACTGCAAGCATAGAAGTATGATTCGATAATAGAGAAATGAAATATAGCATAAGAAAAAAAATTTTTACAACATTTAAGCCTTCCAGTATTCTTGAAATAAATAATATATTTCCAATACAGTAAAGCCGAAGATGAAGGAAAAGAAACAGAAAATTTTAAGTAAAAAATAAAAAGAACATTTATCATTCAAAAAGGAATATTAAATCTCGACTTAGAAAAAGAAAGAAAACCTTTCTCCAATCCCTCCCATGTTTACGGTAGGCTTCATAGAAGCGTTCAAGCTCATCTCTCCCCCATTGAGAACCTAACATGTCTGACAGTTTCCTCTTCTGCGAATCAAGTTAACCAAATCTATAGCATAAGACATGAAACTTTTACAAATCCTGAAAGAACAAGAGCTTTTAAATATAATATCAGAATAAGAAAATCAATATAAGAAAGTGAAAGCATTCAATTGGAAGCTCTCCCGCCATCCCTATCTAACAGGATTGATTTTTTTTTTGTGCTCAAAAAGGTTGATTTTATTTTGAGTGACAGGTTGTGAACGAACACAAAATAACTAACTCAATTTTAACAAAATAAGAACTTAAAATAAGGCAAATGATGATGAGGAAATTATTCTATTGGAAATAAGAAATTGCTGCGCGGAACAATACAAGCTATCGATTAATGAAAATATTGAAACACATATCAAGGACAACAAGAAGTAAAGGACTTAGACACATTTGGCCCTTAGTAGTTCTGGTGGCATACATAGAGATTGACAGTAACATAAGATGATTACAATATTAATTAAAATTTTCAACCGTAAGAACAAAATTAACTAAAATACTGGAACGAAATGCAATATGGATTTCAATAAAGATGATTACATTGTCAGGGACTTACGCTGCACAACATGATTGTACAGGAGTCTAAAGAGGGTGTGAGGATTTACGTCGTGGTGTTCATTTTACGCTGCATAACATGATTGTACAGTAGTCTAAAGAGGGTGTGAGGATTTACGTCGTTGCACAACATGGTTGTACGGGAGAGCTCTTCTATCTCTGCGGGCTATTTGCATAATCGAATATTATGCAAATGTAAGTCTCAAATAATAAAATTGGCAGGATTAAACACCTAAAAAATATCGTCTTTAAAACTCAGCCACACATTAGGATAGTTTGGGAAGTTATTGAGGTTTCTCCTCATGATCGGTGACATCTCCTACCTTTTCCTTTCTTGGACTCCTGAAAATAATTATTTCTATTTGTGTCACTCTCACTTGTTTTTCCACATCTTACCGTAAGCACCTAAACCTTAAAATCTTGAAGACTAGTACCTCTGATCATTATCGAAAGTTTTCTAAACGGACCCCCGTCATTTGGGATGTAATTAACTATAGGAGCTTGCATCTATAGGGAACTTGAAACTCAGATGAGATAAACCCTATCGAGATTAGGTACATCGCCAGTTGACCTCATTCTCAGTGAGGTCATAGTCTCCTACTTTTAGAACCCAGGATCTAGCTTTAGGAGTTCATATTGACCATCCTAGCGGACTAGTAATGGAGCTCACCTCCCGTATAACTTCAAAGCACTTCTTGACTCATTTTTCTGAAAAACTCGCATGAGTTGTTCCAAGCACTCAAGTTCTAATTTCAAGGGCTAAGGACCAACATGTAGAGAACCCGAAAATGAGTTCTTACAGGATCAGATAGCCTTAGGAGAACCCTCCGTGACTCAGCAACGCACTCGCTACACCACGCATGGAGTTGACACATTTTTTGCCCGATTGTCGGCGAACCTGTCTGGACGACCCTGGATGAACAAACGGACCTCGTCGACGGGTCCAAAAGGTTAAATTTAGTCGGGAAGAACACACATATTGCTAGGATTACGCGCGCGTGCAAATGGCACAAAAATCCAGACACATTATTTTTTAGCGGGACGCGGGCCCGGGCTCGATTCGGGCTGATCGCCAGCTCATAGGATTTCAAAATTCAAACGGAGCATTTAAAACTCATATTAATTGAAATTAATTTGTTGTTAAATTTTTCCAATTGAGTCGGCTATATCAAAGGAAACTATTCAATTTCCCGTCAAAGCTTTCACGTAACGACTCCCTCGAATCTTCGACCATACTAGTTGGCCTCTCCCATAACCTTCAATCACTCAGCTCTCCTGCTCGTCCCGTCCTCTCTCGCCTGAAACCCCCTCTGCGCCGAAGAACCCCACTTGCCTACTCACCGCCTCCTGCACCGAAGCCCTCTGCCTCCTCTCTTCCTCGCGCGACCAAACAGTCATTCGATTCGCCTTCCCCCTCTGTTCCAGAAAATACTCGTCGGCTCCCTCGTTCCCATTCAACCTCCGCTCCGCCTCTCTTCCTCGCTCGACTGAAGCTGCTAGTATCCTCCTCTCCTCACACTGCTGCAACTCCTTTCCCTGAGGTGAAAGATTTTCTCTATCTAGTATGTAAAACTAGCTGCCATTTTTTTGTTCTTTCTAAAGAATTTTTTTTTATCTGATTGAAATTGGGTGGTGTATTTATGAAATGGAATTGTGAGGAGGTTTTCTGCTCTTATTGGGATGGAAATTCGGATGTTAGTTAGATTTGTAGAATATAAGGATTGAGCGACATGCACATAAATTTTTCATGAATTTATGTTGCTAATCGTTTAAGTAAATTAACAAAATTTTCCTGAATTAAACCTTGAGACCAATCTGATTTCATTAGTTACACAGACTCTATTTGAAATTGTTTTATGTTGAGTACACCACTTCATGCATAGGTTTATGAAACTGATACTAAGCTTTGGGTGTTAGGGATGTAAATGCATAGCACTTGCATAAGGTGCATGTAAATTTGTCAAAAGATTAAGATTGTCATGTTGTGAAAGTGAACCTTGCTTGTGGTTAACACCAATCATTATGAGCTTAGAGGTGACCATTACCCGAAAACCGCCTAACATTGCTAGCAAGGATTTTTGGAATTCTAAGACCATTTTTAATAACACATACATGAATGCTTTTTCTGATTTTGTGGTTCAGCATAGTAAGTACTAGGTCTTGAATTTCCTACATCAGAATGAAGTTTTTTATGAGTGTAATTGGATGGTACGGCAAGGTTGAAGTTGTCCTAGCTCCAAAATGTTCTGAGCTATTCGTTGAGCCATGCCTCAACACTCTTGCTACTTCAAAATTGATCTTTACATATATATTCCACCCAATTTATATGTATTTACATGCCTAACACTTAAAATTTAGTTTTTTATTACATGTGTACCACTCAATTGCCATGTATTAGCATATCTAACACATTGGCGTAAATTCTTATATGCATACCACACAATTCTTATATTTTCTGCATGCCCAAAACTTAAACCTTATATCTACACCACCCAAATCCTTAATTTTACAAGAGAGTTATATTTGTTTCTTATCATGAAGGACGTCTTTTCATGCTTAGAATTTATTCACTTCTTCGGGGTTGTTATACTTGCGGTTTAGAGCCTTTAAAAACACTGGGGGAGGGTCTCCCTTACTCGATGCTTTTATTGTTTCGAGGATGTTTTATAATTGATGTTTGAGACATTTAAATAATCATTTGGAGCAGTAAGCTGCTGTTTTGGCTTAAAAGTGTTGTCTAGTCGTGCAGGTGGCTGTTTAGAGCTAACAAAGTGTTGTCTAGTGTTGTTGGTGGTTGTTTGGAGCTAATTAAGTGTCGTCTAGAGCTAAGAAAGTCTATAATTGTTGTTTGAAAGCTTACAAGTGTTGTAGGCTGTTGTTTAATGTTGTTTTGAGCTGAGAAAGTGCTAGGAAGTGTTGTTTGAAAGTTTACAATTGCTCTAGGCTGTTGTTTAGTGTTTTTTGGGCTAAGAAATGATTGTCTAAGTGTTGTTTGAGGTTGTCCATCGTTGTAGAAAGCTGTAAGAAGTATCTAAGTTGTTGTTTAGAGTTGCCGATTACTGTAGGAGGCTGTAGAAAATGTCCAAGTTGTTGTTTGGAGTTGTCGATCGATGTAAGAGGCTGTAGAAAGAGTCTAAGTTGTTGTTTGGAGTCGTCTATCGTTGTAGGATGTTGTAAAAGTCTTAGGATCACCTGTTTGGAGTTCTTAGCTACTGTTACTACTTCTGCTACTTACTGTTTTCTTTTTCTACAATTTATTTAAATCCCCTGCAAATTATATTTTGTTTTGTGAGCTAAACACACAATATGGATAGTAGCAGCAGATGCGCCAGGTACGCAGTTACATTTTATTTATTCTTATTTTTTTACTGCAATTTACTATTTCTCTAACACATCAGGCAGGCACTGATTGCGATTTCATCTTCAAAACAAAATAATTTTCAAAAATCAAACAACATTTTCAAAACAAAAAACAAAAACAAAAACAAAAACAAAACATGTCCTTTTGAATTTACGGGAGTCCCTCGGAGGAGATAACCCATGGTTGCTAACAAGATCTCCTGCTAACAAGATCTCCCCGCTAACAAGATCTCCCCGGTTTAAATGGGTTTCATAATTCGTTTAAGCTAAGTAAAATCAAAAGAAATAGTGATACCAGAACAAAGGAACCGTGGGATCCTAACCGGTGTCGCTCTAATCAAATTTAACCCCCCATAATGACAACAAAACCAAGACTTTAAAACACACCTGGTAAAACCTTTTGAATCTTAGACTTTAGGACTGCTGCCTCGACGAGGAGCTGGGAACCAGCTTTATGGGCAGCTCGACAAGGAGCTTAGAGCGGACTAAAAATGAAGGTGATCGTCATTTTACAACAGCAAAATAAGTCTACACCAGCTAAACTCTTTCCTTAGTCTAAATGACAACCAATAGGATTTCGAGGTAGCTCGCCCAGTGCGACGTAAATCCTCACACCCTCTTTTGGCTCATGTACAACCATGTTGTGCAGCATAAGTCCTAACTCGCCTCAGGTTTCGAGATTGTCGTGTGGGTTATTTGCATAATCAAATGTTATGCAAACGTAAGTCCCAAATAATAAAATTCAGAATATTAAACACCTAAATAACATTGTCTACAAAACTCAGCCACACATTAGGATAGTTTGGGAAGTTACTAAGGTTTCTCCTCAGGATCGGTGACATCTCCTACCTTTCCATTCTTTGTACTCCTGAAAATAATTGTTTCTATTTGTATCACTCTCACTTGTATTTTCACGTTCTACCATGAAAACCTAAACCTTGAAATCTTGAAGACTAGTACCTCTGATCATTATTTGGCGTAATTTCCTTGACGGTTGTCATTGTTCGACTAGATCTAACTCGGATGTAATGTCCTCAGCGGTTGCCTGAGCTGATATAGCTTCTTCGCACTTCACAAGCTTC